CCTCTACACAGTCCACAAAGTCTCTCTTCTGTATAATTTTAGGCCATACTTTCTTCCAGGCAGTTGTCAATGTCCCTAGATAGACATTGACCCAAGATTTCTCAATTAATCCTACACAGGAAAGGATGATGTAATGTTCTTTCCAGAGCTTTTTAAGGGTCAATCCATAAGTGAGACCATCTGAGAGCTCTTTAGAAATAGTTTCGTGGTATATAGCTTCTTAAAATCAGCTATAACTTCCTGGGCCATAGGCTGCAGTAGAGGAGTTATATTAGGTGGGAGGAGCTCAATTGGGAGCCATGAGAATTCTTGAGCCAGTTCTTCTTCCAAATGTTATGGGTGAGTAGGAGCATTGTCCATAATGAGGAGAGCCTTGAGTGGTAAACCTTTGTCCTTTTGACATTTTTTAACAGTAGTACAGAAAGCCTTCTGATCCACTCAAGAGAAAGTACTCTTGTTACTCAGACTTTTGCATTACATCTTCACATGATCTCTAGCCTATTCTTCATGACTTTATGTTTTTGGAACACTCTGGGGGTCCCAGAATGATAAACTAAGAGAGGCTTTATCTTGAGGTCACCACTCTCCTTGGCGCATAGCAATGAGATTAGCCTATCTTTCATGGGCTTGTAGCCTGGCATTTTTTTCTCTTTTGGGGTAATATATATTCTTTCTTCCAGGAAGTCCAGATTCATCACAGTTGAAAACTTGGTGAGAGCAAAAGCCATTTCTCTGTGTCATCATTTCGAAGTGGTGCATGTAATTTTCAGCAGCCCTTTTATCAGCACTGGCTGCTTCACCATGATTAGTTACACTGTGAACTTCAGTTGTTGCTTTAAAATTGTGAAACCTCCCCTTGTTGGCACAAAGTGTTTCACCATTATCATGCATTGATGGATTGTCCTTTACAAGATTTGCATTTATAGCCCTAGCTTTTTCACAAGTTATAGACTCAGATAGGCTATAACCTGCCATCTGCCTTTCATTTATCCTCACTAATAATAGCCTTTCTACCTTGTTACACACTGTTGCCCATGACTTACTGATTTGAGTAACACCTTTAGCAACACTAGCTTCCTTATACAAGTATTTTCTCTGAAAGATTGTTGAGATGGTAGATTTCAACATGCTGCGCATTAGCGAGATCATCGCACAAACACTACTTTTATGATTCTCTACAATTTCCCTCTTCTTTTTGGCTGTGATCACTTTCTTTCTCTTCCCTTCCTTAGCTTCTTTTCTAGCTTTTTGGGGGCCATTTTGATAGCAGTAAGCATAGTAATTATATAAAGCACTGACCAAAATTACACCTACAAATACACATCTGGGATCAGACTGGTGAATATGTATGCTTCCATTAGCTTTTTCGGCATCATGAGTCTTTGTTTACAACCAGCCAAGTGGCCAGAATTTGGGTCATATGTTAAAATTAAAATTTGGTCATAACTCAAATTTTTCGTATGTGAGGCCAGTCATAACTCAAGGGTCCATTGTATAGTTGAAGTTCCTATTTTGTTTGTGACAAAAGTAATACATATTCAATGCATGTAGGTAGCCAGTACCTATAGTGTGTACCAGTGAGTTTAGCTGATGAAGTTTAGCTGATAAAGAAACCAAAGATTCTATTAAGAAAGACTTTTAACAAGCAGTACCTTTCATAGATACTTTAATTTTATTAATGTAACTGTTTTTGAGTTTCGTTTATGGTACTTTGGTTTGTTTAAGAAGGGTTTGCACTTGTTAGATTAGGAATCAGTTTCCTTTGTTGCTGATGCCAAGTATCTGAAAAAACCATCACATTTCAGTCCACTTGTCCATTTGTGATCTCATTTTGTCCATCGTTCTTGGTGGTTACTGATGGAAATATAAATTCAATCCCTGCCCTTCCCTTTTTGCCAGAAGTGAAAATTGTAACCTCAGGTTCCCAAATCTGAATCTCAAAGCTTGTACTCTTATCATCTTCTGATGCCCAACTTCTCTGACTACCCTATATCTCTCAAGAGTCTATTTACCCTCATTCTGAATCCATGACAAGTCTTTATTTTATTCAGTACAGTGATTGTAGCTGGTTAGCCAGTTTGTACTCAAGATTCAGCACATTGTCTTCTCAGTCTTACTTTCTTGTTCTTCTTAGCTTCTGGTCTGTGTGCCCTCCCATACTCAGGTTTTCATCTGCATTGGATAGCTGATTTTCATTACTCTGAATTCCTCTTCACCCTGCTTTTAACTCTAGCCATTGTATGACTGTTTCTGAATGGCTTTGTATCATAAAAGCAGTGGTGAAATTTCATAACATGCTTCTCATTGTCAGCTGGGGAGTACCTCTGAAGTCATTGCGCAGGAGGCAGGAAGCTATTCTGAACTCACGAGAGCATAATCTGGGAATGTGGGGCTGTCCCTTTCAGTGAGTAAGGGTAGCAAAGTTATTCTGGCTCTAACCTCAAGTTGACTCAGCTTCGCGAGGTCAATGGAGAATCCAGCACTAGCTGCCCCCAAAAGTAAAGGCTGCCATTGCCTCATGTAGCCTATGTTGGCCTTTTCTCCTCTTTTCTTACTCTTCCCTTCTTATACTCTTTTTTTTTCTTTTATTGAGTTTATTGGTACATTTTAGGTGTACAGTACAATTACATTCATTATTGGGATCTTGTACCTTTACATGACAGGTCTTGATTCTCATTTTTTTCCCCTTGTCTGTGCCTTCTTATACTCTTGATGCCTACTTTTATAGTCACATGAAAATAAAGCTGAAATAGTCACTGGCACAATCCTCTTTAGTCTATCCTCTCTATTTGTTTCTATGCTTCTGATAATTACAAAAATCACAAAAGTATCTTTCTTAACTAGGTCTTCTATAAATCATACTACTTTATCCTAACCGGATTATTTTTCTGTGGACTAACCCAACAAACCTTTCTGTATTATTTTCCTATCTCATCTTTTATGTTGTTAGCCTTAAAACTGCCTTTTTCACTCTCAATGTACTTTCTTACCTGCTTTGTTGAGAAATTTAAGACTAAAAGATTGACTTCGACATTCTTTTTTCTTTTTTTAACTTCTACATAGTTTTTCCATTGATTTATCCTCTCTGCCAAACAAAACAAAATAAAAATAAAGAAATTTTAAAAAAATCTTTGTATAATTCTACTTTTTTCCCCAGTATTAGAAGTGCTTTTAATTTATTAACTGATGCTCTTGAGTATGTTCAATATGAACTACTAATTTCTTAAGGTCTTTCTTTATAGTGTTTCATATCTTTCCTCAATTTTCAGAGGCTCCTTTGATGATTGAAATTCATTTTTTTACAACATCTTCACTCCTGTTTACCATCAACTTTTCTTATTTTTTTTTTCATTCAGTGGAACACTCACTGAAATAATATCACTTATTTAGCTCCTAAGTCCTGAAAACTTGATATCGATCTCTGTTAGTCTTTGAATGTACTGTTTTAAAGGTCAGTGAAGGATAAGATCATTAACTCCTGTAGCCTTTCCCCATCATCATACTTGATCACATTCCGGTATCTTCCAGTAAATTCTTCGTTTCTGTTGCAGCATTGTGAATACTGTTCCTTGTTGAGTGTGTTCCTCTTCATGCTCTCAAGCATTCTCTCACCACTCCCAGGTCTCTCTGTAGGTCCTACACTGCAGTCCTACACTATGGCTCCTACACTGCAGTCTTACTGTACTACCATTTCTCAGATTTTCATTACTTCTCTGAGACAATGAGTTGGATCTCAACTTTAAATTGTCTGACATGGAACTTAACATTCCACTCAGCCCTTCTATACCTCACTTCTTTCTTTTAATTTCCTTTTGTTTTCTGAATAGTAATATCCTCCTTTAAGGCAGCATATTCCATTATGTTTTTGTCATTGTACTTACTGAGGAAAAGTAGATAAATTTACTTCGGAAAGATTTTGAAGTTTTAACTAGAGATGAAAGAAATAGACTTTCTGACATGTCATGTAGAGGTACAAATTCCCAACAATGAATGCAACTGTACTGTATCCCTAAAATGTACCAATAAACTAAATTAAAGCTGAAAAAAAAAAAAGAAATAGACTTTCTGTTTGTAAAATGCTATTAAATGGAAAAACTTTTTTCTTGAATTCATCAATCAAAATTGTTTCATATACTAAACTTGGTGAATATTCACTAATATCTTTTATGTTGAGTTTAGAGTATTTGAGGTTTTTCATTATTTGTTATTCGTTGGATATTTGTTGCTAAAGTGAACTCAGAAACTCAAAATAATCTTTAGGTATTGGGCTTCAGGCTAACTTCTTTTTGATAACTGAGACAGAAGAATCTGAAGTTAAATAGAGGATCAATAAGAACAATTAGCAAACAGTGTGGAAATGTCCTATGGGTATGCGGAGTGGAAAATTACATGATAGCTTGTAAGTATGTATTGGACTCTGGGCTAACCATGCACCATCATTAGGCAATTGCACACTGCACAACTGTTGTTTAAGTACCATTTTATCCAATTTAGTCCTAATGAACTGGGTAGATGAGATCTCTGCTGAATTAAAGTGCAATCAAAGGCTCATTTTTAGATTCTGGGCCATCTAGGTCAAGAAGTTCCATAGTGATATAAATGATGGATACATTTACTCACTATATAAAAGACATCAACTTTCTTATCTGGCTTCTGGTTAATTCTTTAATGAGTATGCATGGAATCTGACTTGTGCACTGGGGAATATCCTCATGTGTGGTGAGTGGTAGATGATGATAGAAAAGACTCAGCAGACCAGTTTTTGCCCTCAGGAGTTTCATTTCTATTTTTGCTAATTTTTCTCAATTACTCTGAGTATTAACTTTAAATCAAAGGGATCAAAAGGCAAAGTATCTCTCCCCACCCCTACAGGAGAGTTAATCAAAGGTCTGTAGTAAATGGGAAAACAATTGAGGAGGCAAGATGTTTTTTCATTCTGTGCTCTATCTTACGTACCTCAGAGGTGCATATGACCCTGTGGTTTTATTTGGAACTTTCAGGAAGGGGTCCAGATCGCCAGTCTTCAGGAAGCATAAAAGGGGTGTCAGAAGAAACCCATGTCTGCCTACCCTGCAGAGAAGGCTGTCCCTACTGTGCTGATGACCGCCCGTGCTCTGTCCAGGAGGATAGGTACTTACGACTGGCCATCATCTCCTTCCAAGCCCTGTGTATGCTGCTGGACTTCATCAGCATGCTGATGGTCTATCACTTTCGCAAAGCAAAGGTAAACTCAGGTACCCTGGTTATGATCTCCCTTTTACTATGAAGTATCCTCTTTCTTTGAGTAAATAGAAATTCTAAGACCTACTACCTCTTTCCTAAGCAGAAGTCTTTGTATAACATAACTGGATCAGAGCATGAAAATTATATTGTTTAGCTGCCCAGCAAAAATAGGGATTAAATAATATGGTGATTTAACATTATTTTAAGAATGTTCCCCCCTATTTTAACATGAGCCTGAGTGCCTGGATGGACTCTCCTTGATAACCATCTCTGTGGTCTCTAAAGGAACTTATTTGACCTGCAAGGAAAGTGTTGTTAATTTTTTATGTCTAGAAGCTTTGTTGTGTTTATGGTATTTCATTTTTCTAGTCATATTTAAGATGGTGCATGACTTAACTACCTTTGAGCACATTATACTCTGAGGAGTAACTTGTTATGACTTTATATTTGCTCTTGCTCTTGTGTCCCAGGATAATAGTGGTCCTTTGAAGACCTTAGCTTTTGAGAGGATCTGTCCTTGGTTCTCTTTTGAGAAATCAATAATATAAGCACATGTATATTTCTCAATTAGGAGTAGACAGAACGTTAAATTGTCCAGGGCAGAGTTTTCAAGTGATCTATCCAGGGTCACCCAATTAATGAAATGTGGTCGGTATTGTATTAGAACTTATGGTTCTTCTGTTTGCAGGAGGTTGTTTGTACTAAAGTTTCAGCCTTTTCTGAATTTGAACGATTGCTTTGGTTTAGATTATAGAGTTTCTGGAAAGTAGAAAGTGTTTCCATGAGATATTTTAAAAAGAAAGCAACCTTCTCTGAATGGTATTTATTACAAAGCCTCAACTTAACTTTTCAAAAAGGTTCTGTTAAGATTCTAGGAGAATGTATTCTTTATGTTAATGTTATGGGCTTCCGTAGTTATTTTAAATAGACAATTTCATTAATTGAAGCAAGCAGCACAAATTAAAACCCACTTTGAGCCAGAAAGTGCAAACAGGCAAATTGCTCTTCATTTAACTAACACTAGTCTTTCTTTTGCAACAAACTATATGTTAAATCCTATATATATAAATAGTAGGCAAATGGAGTTGAGAAATATGTAACACCCAGCTAAAATTAACTGGTGTTTTAGGGGCCCATCAGTGACTGAACAGGGAAATTTGAAACATCTATTTAATCAATTGTTCTGATATCTCCCTGATATATTGAATTCATTTATATAGCAGGTATTTATTTCTTTATGAATCTTAATTGATTTTAATCATTAGTGATTGCTGTGCTAAATTGATGAGTCAGTGATAGACAGTGGTTAGAATATCACATTGAATATTGAGAAACATATGATATATAGTTCTTTCTAGATCAAGGTCTTAATCTGTGTCAGTGTTACTTAATATTGACAATGTTATTAGCCTTTCATATTTACCTGAACTTTCATGTGAAATGGCAGATTACTGACCAAAATCATGAGACTACATAACTGCACATGTCATTTTAGCAAAGGTCCTATAGGTACATAGTAGTTGGAATAAATACATTTGTCCTTAGTTTGAAGATGGTCACTTTTTGAAGATTGTAACATAGTGAAAGGAGGATATGAGTTAACGAAGTCAATGAATATACGTCTTGTGTATATCGGAATAAAGGAAATGTTGGAGCTATTTCTCTTGTGATTCCAACTGCCAAAAGCAATGGGTTAATTATTAAAGCAATAATAAAGCATATCCAGTATAGTGACTATACATTTATAGCATTTGCTTTTTAAAGGTTTCATGCTTCTTTGCAATATTTCTTTGATAAAGTAGAAAGTTGATGACCCCTTTTGGAGTAATATTTTCCTAAGATATTTTCCATTACATTCTCTACCCACTGATAAATCAACAAAGCCCATTTAATTTATCAGTTCACATTTATCTCACAAAAAAAGATCCAACTGCAATATAGAAGTAGCATAGCAGTTGAGGCAGCATGTGGACTTGAATTCTGTCTCAATCTCTTGCATACCCTGAGGTTTTCAGACAACTCTTTATCCAGGCTTAGCCTGGGTTTTCACCTCCCCAAATGGAGGTGAGACACCTCCATATACAAAACTTGACTCAAAATGGAACATCAGCCTAAATGAGTGAGCCAAAGTCGTGGAACTTTTCTTGGATAAAAATATGTACAAATTGTTATGATTTTGGTTTAGGCAGTGGCTGTTTAGATTTGACATCAGAAGCATAAATGACAAGAAAATAAATAAAATTGAATTTCATGAAAACTGAAAATTTGGGTATTAAAAGACATCAAAAAAGTAAAAATGGCAGAAAAGCTTTGCAAACCATGTAAGACTGTATACAGAGCTCATAACTAACAATGAGAAAAGGAGAACCAATTTTTAAAATAGGCAAAGCATGTGAATAGACACTTCTTAAGAGAAGCTGTACAGATAAGCCATTACACACATGGAAAGATGCTCAACATTAGTTGTTAGGAAATTGTAAATCAAGTCCAAAACATCACGGAGTAGTTTAACCATTAAAAGATAAAGCAGAAAATAACAAGTGCTGAAGATGTCAAGAAATCAAACTTTCATTCATTGCTGTTGAAAAGTAAAATGATCCAGCCACTTTGGAAAATAGTTTGATGATACCTCAAAAAATTAAAAATATTGTTATGATATTACTTAGCAATTCAGTCCTACTACCATTGTAGGCGTATAATAAACATCTCCACAAAAAGTGCACAGTAATATTCTTAGCGGCATTATGTACAATAGTCAAAATGTGGACACAGCCTAAAATGTCCATCAACTGATAAAAATATATATAACCTGATATTTCTATACAATTGACTATTATTTGTTCATGAATAGGAATAAAGTTTCAGTACACTATAGATGAATCTTGAAAGTAGTAAGTGGAAGAAACAATTACAAGACTACCTATTCTATGATTCCATTTATATTCCACTTATATGCCCAGAATAGGCAAATCTATTTGGACATTAGAGAGAGATTAGTAGTTTCCAGGGGCTACCAAGAGAGACGACTGGGGAGGGACAGATCCTGAGTGCAGGAGTTCTTTTGAGGGTGACACAAATATTCTAAAATTAGATGGCCACAATGGCTTCACAAATCTATGATATATTTAAAAGAGAATATCAATGCATGGGAGGTCTGTGTCAATGAAGTGAATATAAATGTCTTCAGGAGGCTACAGACTGTCTGTCCCATGAGATAGCTTTGAAAAGTGCCTGAGGTAATTCGTGTAAATATCTTACAGTTAGTCTTTACCAGGCATTCAAATGCAACTGTTATATCATTTTGGACCTCTTTTCAAATTAGTAATTGACACGTGCCTCCCACCTTGGTGGCCAAATGTAATATTTAAAATATTTGAAAGTATGAGAGGTTTGAAATTATAGTTATAACTATTTGAAGCAGACATCCATGCTTGATAAGTGCTCATTCATGGTCACACATGAGACCACACCACTACTTCTCTGCTGAAAATCTTTTTAAAATTTATCATGCACTTATTTATATGTTACCTTTTGACCTTTCAAAAATAATTACATGTGCAAATAAATGGTAGTGTATTTACCCATCCTTCTATATCATTGATCTTTCTAGGAAGGTTCAATTTTCATCCTCCACCCCCAAAATAATAAGAGTTATGGAAACTCACTTGGTTATCAGTGATGAAGTCTTCAGGGTTATTCAGAATTAAGACACGTGATCCTTGTTGTAATATTATAACAGTCACAGTGTAAAGGTTGATAATAAATTAATAAATTTATAAGTACTTTCGTGGTTTCTACTTAAAAAGATGGAAAAATATGGAGCAAGCAAACTTAGAAACTTAGCAAGTCCTTGTCTCAAAATAAAAAAATCAAAAAAGGCTGGTGAGGTTGCTCAGTGTGAAGGACTTTAGGTCAATCCCAGTACTTGGGAGCGGGGAGAAAAAAACATGGAAAAATTTGAGAAGTAGAATGGAGTAAATGCTCATTTCGTAGATCAGTGAATCTTCTGCTGAATTTGTGAATTTTCCAGAATAGGCAGTTAGGTTGCGAACTGCACATGTTTATGTTTTATCTTGTTCCAGCACATGAAGAAAGACTTCTAGAAGATTAGATATGTAAATGAAGCTCAATGAAAATAAGGATAGAAAAATTATTTGAAGTAGAGGGAGAGGTGAAATTATGTAATAGCACCAGTGGATTCCATGAGGTCAGAGTACTGTTCTAATCCACTGCCAGAGCAAAGAGCCTTCTTAGGGTTTCCTGGCAGCAGTGCTAACAGGAGAAGCAAACAAAACAAGCAGCCAAACAAAGAATGAATTGCAGTGTCCATAAGATAAAAGCCAACCAGTCATTGAGAGGAAACTCACATATTCCTGGCACTGATGCTTGAAAGAAAATTCTCCTGTAAATTCTTGTATAGAGAATATAGTAAAATGTAGAGAATGATAAACATCCTTACATGAAATATAATTTTGTAGCTCTATTTCTGTTAATTTTTCCAAATTTGTACTAAAATTCAAATGCTTACACACAGCTCAAAACAACCACTCCTATAGAGGTGGCACAGTGCGGTCTAAGACTTTTCCAAAGGAAAAGCAGGCTCATAAAACCTTACAGTGCATCCTCATCCATCCAATTTACCGGATGGGGCAGCACTCCATCCCCCAAACCAAAATGACCATGAAAGGTACACATCTTGAACCGTTCAGAACATCAAGGTAGCCACGACAGTGTAATTACGGACATGGAAAAGGGCTCCAGAACTGCTTCAGAGTGGTAAAAACAGTGGGAGAAGTGTGTTCAAGGTGAGTGCAAGCATTCCGAGGGGAGCTAACAGCAGTGTGTCTTTTACTATATAACATCTTAAAAATGTATTTTGGTCCCACCTGTTGTCACTCTTTGCTGACTGAATGGTGAGAAATTGGAGGCTATATTCTCTGTCGTGGACAGGATGACAGGCGTCCTGTGTTTGCATTGATTGGGAAGCTGGGTGCTAGAACA